GGCAATTCAACCCAAACCCGAGCTTAACCGACTCGATCGAGCACTAAAATATCCAGACCCGTACCGAGAATGAAATAATCCGAATCCGACCCGAAATTTTTTACCCGAACCCGACATCGAGTCGAGTCGGGTCAGGTGTGGGTTTATAATTTTATCTGACCCGACCCAACCCGAACCTGCACCCGACCCGACTCAAACCTGAATATTTAATAACATAAAAACCTACCTATGGATATAATGAGCACTCCGTATAATCTCTTGACAAAGTGCTACTATATGGCTTTTTTAATCATTTTTTATAATTTCTTAATAAAAAATGAGACACAAAAAAGAGACAAAAAAATTAGATTTAATCCCTTTAAAATTATTGGGGTACGTCGAATTGATTATTGGTTAAAAGTCGGGTGCGGATCGTTCGAGTTTTGGATTGAAATGCCAGGTTCGGGTTAGGTCAAGTTTTGGCTTAAAATGTCAAGTTTTGGGTTGGATTTCGGTTTTAAAAGTCGGGTCGAGTTCGGGTATAGTACTATCCAACCCGAACCCGACCCTTGTCATGCCTACTGTAAGCCACATTGCCTCCTCCACCGGTGGTGCCATCTCTACCGTCACATCACTACTCACTGCCAACTCCACCGCCACACAGTCACCTTCTCCAACCCATTGCCCCTGCAACGGCCGTCTCCACGCTGCAACCTTTGCTGATACATTGCCACCTTCGCCGCCACATTGCCACCATCCCTGCAACCCCCTCTGCCACACTGCTAAATCATCGCCACACTTCAAGCAAAGACACCAAACTACCACCACCTCCTCCATGTTGCCACAACCATAGCCACACTACTATCGCTTAAGAATGGTTAAGTGGCTTTCTTTCATAAGGAGCACTCAAACACTTCAGAGCGCGTCTATCATTGAATGCCCTAAAGTCTATCACCGAACATATTCAAATTATTATGTGAATCGATGTTTTGTATTTCGTTTCTTAGTATACTTTAGCAAGAGAGAAACTCCCTACGTCAGGATAAAAACTATGAAAATACCAAAATATGAGTCCCTAATCTTTTAACACTAAACTATAAAAACTATGAAAATACCCTATCATGGTTACATTGCCACACTCAGCACATTGTCACACTACAACTACCACACTATCACAATCACAAAAAAGTGTATTTCTTTTATGCTAAGGAAAACTTCAAAAGTTATTTATGAAAGACAAACTAAAATGGGCATTTAGTCAACCCTGGAGCACTCAATATCTCTTTCAATACGGTATTTTCAAAGAATTATGAAGTTATGATTAAGCTGATAAAACAATATGGACCCAAACTTAAACCTCCCCGTTACAATAATTTGTATGTACCCCTTTTTTAAACAGCCTAATTGAATCCCACACAAGCCTAGGGTCTCGATACCCCTTCTCCAAAAAAATTTAAAAAAGTACAATGAGAAGCTAGGAGCCTTGGAGAAAAACATGAAGCTTCCGCAAATGAGCACAAGTGGGGATACATTGACAAATATCAAACCTTGCCATTTGACAAAGTTTCTCGTGAATAAACTAGAGGGCACACTTTTCTCTAAAGTCACATGATGCGTCGGGTGAATCCTAGATTGTAGTTTCCCAACTAACTTGAGAAAAATTGACAAAAGTGAAAAGTGAATACTCATTCATGTTGGCCCATGTGTTTTGATAACGACAAGCTTTTGCCTTCATGTGAAGAAAGCTTTTATCAATGGTTTCAATGCTTATTTGCATTCAACTATACGAACTCTTTTCGAGAATTCAAGATGTTTTTCAAGGGTTCAAGACCTTAGTGAGTTAGTCTCTTAAATCCTTAGTACTTTTGTATGAATATGACATCTATTTGCTCTTTGAAGAAGTATTTTTCATCTGTTTTCAAAAACCTCTTCTTTTATTTAACTCATTTAAATGATTACCTTTTTTTATTTAAATGTAAGGTTTTTCTTAAGGTTTTAGTATTTTTCAGCAATACATTTGAATGTCATATTGCTACAGACGAATGTTGTTGAAATTCAAAATGTTTGGTTTGAATATCAATCAGAACATTCGAATGTTAACTTATAACCATTAAAATGTTCACAAAGCTCATAGTCCAAAACTATGTAACATTTGAATGTTGCGTTTGAAACATTCGCATGTTTGAGGTTCAGAGCTAAACCAATTGTGATCGTTGTTGAAAATTGTTTTAAATTGCTTCTAACATTCGAATGTTGGTTGCTTTCAACTTCTTCCAATAGCTATTTTTAAAAATTTTGAAGGCCTTTTTTGCTCTTTCTTCTAATCTTTTTCATTATCCAAGAGCATGAAATTCGTTGAGCCTTCACAGCTTTTCAAGAGATTAAGGCCTCCATTATCCTCCAAATTTTCAATCCTTTATGCATACAAAATCCTTGTCATTAACACACTTGCTTGAGTCAATTTTGGATAGTAATAATTGCCATATTCTTCTAATATCTTGTAACGACAACATAGCTACTTGATTGTAGTACTTCTCTTCTGTGCAAACTCAAAATTTCTTACTTTGTGTAAGGATATTGTATAGCTTGGAATTGGGACTATGGCAAGGGTAAAAACTTTAAGTCTTGTGAAATCAAAACTTCAATGGAAAGATTGGAGGCTTGTGAAATCAAATTCTCGAGTCGTATTTGGATTGTAAAAATCCATAAAGTTTGATGAAGATTAATGGAATCTCAAACAAGTATGTTCTGGGACTAGACGTAAGCAATAGTCTATACTAGTATATCGTTGTTCCTTACACTTCTCTACATTATTCTTGCATTTTTATATGTTGCAGTATTGTAATTTTTTTCTTCGCAAAAAATTATCATATGTAAAAGAACACCTTTATCCTCCACCCCTAGAGGTGTGCATGGTGTTTCACAATTGAAATTGTGACGGATAACGACTCTAATTACAATGCGGTGAGCAAAGTACACAAGAGTGCATACACTGTTTTGGGCCCTTTATAATGTGCATTGCATTGACCTCATGTTAGAAGACATTGGAAAGTTCTCTGACTTTAAGTTTACCATTAAAAGAGCAAGGCATGTCACTACTTATATATACCATAATGGAACGATTCGCACATAATGAGAGAGAAGACATAGGGTAAAGACCTTGTGAGACCCAAAGTCACTAGATTTTCAACCATATTCTTTACTTTGCAATGTCTTCATAAATTCAAAGACGCATTGAAAGTATTATTTACTAGTGATAATTAGAGTAGATCAAAACTGGAAGCAATGGAGGTAGAGAATAAATTTAGTGGCAGTCTTCTGCGCTCAAAAAAATGGCAGACTTCTAATACATTTTAGCAAGTGGTCGAGGATGTTCCTGTGCATCACACCAACTTTTGCTTGTATTGAGGATTGTTGATGTTAACCGTTGGCTATAAAAGTAGCCAAAAACAAAATCACAAATGTTTTACATGTCCAGCCAACAAAATTGCAAAAGCAATGGAGCTTGTTGAGACTCAATGTGTAATACCCCGTATTAACATGAAATGGAAAGAGGTCAAAAGAATTGATAGTTCTACTCATACCAACAAGATGTTTTTCTTCAAAAGCTCATCTCTCAAAAACTTCAAAGTTAATCGTGCTTGACATGGAGCAATTTTAAGATGGAAGACTAGCCATACAAACCATCATAAGCCTTCCCTAGATGTGCCAAGTAAGCACAAAGTGTGTGGAATAGGCTTATGTTGGTTTATAGAGCCAGTCAACAATCTTATGACCAGAGATTGGGAAGGGTGTGGAAGAGGTGTTACAAGGTAGGAACACCAAAATGAAAGTGAAGACATATTCAATGACTCTTTTTCTAAATCCTTCGAAATATTTGATCTCGAGCACAAAGATGTTATCGCTTCTCATCATACAATATCCTTAATGAAGTGTTGCTAATCCCAAACGTGTTTTCACGAGGAAAAATAATTGATAGAGTGACACAACACGACAAAATGGGAGGGAGTTTGCAAAACTAGCAATCAACCAACAAAAGACAAAAGGTCCACATATATTTGTTTACTTCTACTATGGACGCATTTGGTGGATTTACTATTGAGCTCCAAGCACTTGCAAAGTGTATCGTTGAACATCTTATACTTCATCGGGTATGAGCGTAGGTGAAGCACGTTCACACTAGTAAGTAAATTACTCCTAAATTTTAATAAAAACATATAACCTGAACATAAAAGAATAGCTAAAATTGACTAACGCCAATTTTCTAATTTTGGCAATCATTAATTATAATTGCAAGATTGAAACAAGAATTCAAAAGCATCAAAGCCATGCATATGAATTCAATCCTTTTATCTTTGAAGATTTTCAATGGGTTAGCAATGATGTTCATGGAACTTGGAGAGAGGGGTGCTTCTAGCAATCTTGAATGGCACAATATCTTAATGAGATGTTGTACTAGTGAAGCTAAAGGGTGACAATGCGAACAACAACATTGTTTTTCATGCTAGGTTTTCTGTCGAGATCACCATTCAATATTTCTTGAGCCACTATTGGCCAAACCACCTATGCGCTTGAGCGCCATGTAGAAACATGCAACTCGGCCAAAAAAGATTGAGAGTTACCCAAAATGGGCGCTATAATTTTGAAATAAGATCTAGATTCTAGATTTACACAAAACGAAAAAATGTTCGATTTAGAGAAAAAAAGGAAAAATTTGGAACAAAACTATCATTCAATTCGTCGATCTTCAAACAAGAAATATGCAAAGTTCCTTTACTAGGTGAAAAAAGGGAAATTCGTGTTAAGTTACAATCTTCACCACGGAATAGTGCACCCACGTGCCTTCATCAGTGTTGTTTTTGAACTGAATGACCAACAACTAACTATAGTGATTTTGAACTATCTCGACGCATACTTCGTCAAATCATGAAAACATGGCTATTAACCAACACAATAAGATTGATGATCCTCTCGACCCCATTCTTGATGATTTCTGAGACTTCGTTCCATATTTTCTTTCATATGGATATAAAACTTTCTTGAACTGTAAGGTTTATGAACTACAATATAGAATGTCATGTACTTATATTAGTGGTGCTAATGTACAACTATTTTCATTTATAACTTGTTGCTAAGTCGACTAGGCGTCATGGACTACACTGACACTGCACCTCGCCTTAGCATTGTGACAACTATGACCATTGAAGGAATAACATATATTCTAGTGTCAATACTAAGCAAAGTACTTGTGGCCATTTATTAGTATTTAATTGATTATAGTGGCATACAATTTAGTTTAGTATCATTTAGTTCAATATAAAACTACAATTAGTTTAATATCATTCAATTCAATTTTATTTAACTATGTCACATAGCCCCTAAATGTATCTTTCATTAATAAATATTGCTTACAATGAGATAGACAAAAGTAAATCTGAAAAATGTGTCGAAAGGGAGACCACATATATTTCAAGGTAGTTTTGGACAAAGTTCTTGTTTGAAACCACAACTGGTCATTGCGGACAGGAAATGAACTATATTTAGAGAAGTAGGTTTCAAACCACTTTAATCAATTAATTATTGTGGGAAAAAACTTTAGAGAAAAATTATGCTATTTGTTTAATTAAATATATAATTGTATTTACTTGTTGTATAATTTTTTGTAACAAGTTTGAAGTTGGAATAGTAATCATGACATTGTCTAGGCATACCGACACTAGAGACGCTCGCCAATATCATTCACCTTGCAAGAAATATAAATGGCATTGCCCGACGTCTTATGGATGACAACTTGGCTTCCATGTAACGCACAACTTGGTTCTTCCGCGGTGAGAGCGAAGATTCAATAAACGAGAGCGAAGATTCAATAAATGAAAACCTGACAAGAATCCTCAAACTAAATTGTGTAGGACTGCCAAATCTACAATTCAACCTTCGAAAATATATAGCAAATTGAATCAAATCTAATCTTTTGAAGTGTACTCCTTTGGTGCTCCATGCTTGAGTTGTCCTTCACTCCCTTCTCTTTTTTTCCATGGTAACCTTGAAGTCATGTACCTAGTGCCCTAGATCTTGTATGAATTTGACTAAGTAGCTTTATTTACGCTCCGCAACCCAAATCTTAGGTTACTCCATCTTTTTCTTTATTCTTCCATTAAGGATATGTTCCTCAGATTTGAAGAGGTTAACTTCCAACATTTTTCTACTCTTTGTTTCTTTGAACTCTTTCCCAATTTTTTCCAACTCCTAGTTTCTTCCATAAAAAAAATTCTAATTCCATCCAACTCCTTCAAGTTTCTTCCAACATTGACTTAAAACATTCATTCAAGTATACTTTTTTATATTATTCTCATTACATTTATTATCATCATCACCATTATTATAATGATAATATACCACTAACATGTTAAATGATATTATCATTAAACATGTTAGTGTTAAATGTTAGTGTAATATGTTAAAAGATCATCACCATTGTAATTAAAATAAACAAAATATAAATTGTTTTAATAAAAATAAAAAATCCTAAAATATAATACTCATTTCAACATTTACTTATTTTCCCAGCATTTTTTAATTATTTCCAACATATTCCAATTATTTCCAATTTCTTCTTACTATTTCTTGTTCTTACAAATTTCTTCTAGTTTTTTTCAACTACTAGATCTTCCAACTTCGAGTTTTCTTCAACTTCTAATTTCTTTTAACATATTCTAGTTTCGTTCAACATCTCCTCGTTTCTTTCAACTCCTTCCAATTTCTTACAATTCTTTCTGGTTTCTTCCAACATCCAAATCTAAAATTCCACCCAAAGAACAAGCCCCAAGTAACTAAGACTTATACTCTCTTTGTCCCCATTTAAATCCTCTGTTGTTATTTATTGTGTTTCATTAAAATATTTTCAATTCAATTAATTTGAAATTTTGTATTGAATTATAAAATACAAATTATATATTTGAGAACTAAATCAAAACGTTTACAAATCAAGAAGTGACATAACTATATTACTTAATCAAATGAGTAACAAAAATGGACAAAGCCAGTGGTTAAAATTTGATTATATGAATAATAGACAAGTAACTTACTAAACTAGGACAACGGAAGTAATAATTATTCTTACAATTGGTTTGGCTATAGATGGAGCGGGTCCAATGATAAAACTAATGAGTATTGTACTTTTTTCAAATGAATATTAGACATTTTGACTATGAAGTTTGTACTTTTCAAAAAACAAATACTTGTACCATTTTCGTCCCAAAATAAAAGACAATTACTATTCACAAGGTCAAACTAAATCTTTTTTCTTAGCATATTTTTATCAATAATATGACTAAATAATACAATTATCTCACCTCTTATTTTTGTTGAACTTTGAAGCAATTTCTAAGTATATAACTTATTATTCATATCACTACACCGATTTTAAAATAAATTGAATTGAAAGTAAACTATATCAACTTTAAATGAAACTATGTCCTTTAATTTATGATGGTATATTTGTATTAATGTTATTATATTTTATCTTTTATGACTCGTCGCCTAATTGTCATCTGGGTTGCCTAGGCGTCCAGCTGGTGCTGCACCTTGCCTTGGCACCTATGCCTCCAACCGACTTCAATTCTGAAATGGTGTAATTGAAACCGACAAAACCTGAACCAGACCTTGTCCACCACTATTCCAAGGATTACAATGAAATACTTGTATATAGCCAGAAACTCCTAGGACAAAGGTTGCGCTACGTTTGTTGTCCACTATTTTTCAAATAAACCTATTTTACTGAAGGCCTTAAAAGGGTATCTAATACAGGTAGGAAGGTGATATGCTTCAACAGCATCATAAAATCCTAGGGCTTCAATGATGGGTGAAACTCCCTTACACCCTTGTAACTTTTAGTGTATACCCTCGATATGCATGCTTTCTATGAAAAAAAGGGATCAAATATTCTTTTTGAAGTAAAATTACCTCTGAGGAAGAGAAGAAAAACAATATTAACTGAAGCCGCCATTGCCATGTCCTTTTTGCAATGAAAATGTTTCATTTTCATGTCTCTTCATGCGCTGCATCTGAAACTGTACAAATACAACTTCACAGCTTGTGAGAATGGACATGAACTCAACCCGCAGCTGTGATACAAAGCTTCACTGTGAGTTCATCCAGCCTTGGTTATATCAATGTGTATATAAGTTATTCTTAATAGCTAGAGATTGATTTTTGTGGCGATATTATTCAGGAATGCTATACCTCTATCATCATGTATGGTTGAACAAACAAAACTAATGCTTTGTTAAGCATGATGTTTCTAAGGGACAACTAGTTAGCAAGCTCTATCCTCGTGATGGAAAGTAACTCTAGATACTCACACAGGTAAGAAGCAGAAACACTAGACTATACAATATAAGAAACAGATAGCTTGTTGATGTTTAAAAATATATAAATTCACAAGTAGAACTTAAGTATTTATAAGCATATGCCTAAGGTCTAGAAAAAATTACTCCCTGTAGAAAGAGCAATGGTACCAGTTGGCAGAACTCCTAATATCCCCGGTTGGGATAGCTCCAAACTACGTAGTATATTAGGTTCCAAACTTGTTATGCGTGTCACAACTGGCCATACTTATCAACATAACCCTGCAATTGAAACAAAACAAAATCCAGGTCAAAACAGTGGACTTGTATCCCTAGTCATATCTCCATCTATGTAAATCTTCCAAGTCCAAAAAACTCACATTAACAAGCTTCTCAAGTTTCGGCTGAACGCATGAAAGATATTCTTTGACAGATTCAGGATTATCAGGAATTTGTTGGGTTTGCAATGCACCAAGAACCTTATCAGCTGTCTTTTTTACAATAACCTTGTAGGCATCACGACTCACCAAACCCAAATGCCAAGTTGGTTTCAATAGTTGCTTGATGAACTCCACAAGAGAAGACTGAAACAGTTTTTTAGATTCCTGGTGAGCTAAATCATCAACATTAATTTGACCATTGGTTTTCTCTGCTTTCAGTTCCATCTTACACTTTGACCCATTCTTCTGCACAGAATGATTATTATAATGTGCCTTTTCCGATTCTGTGTTCTCTTTAAAATCAGAATCATTTAGAAGTTGCTTTCCTTTCAAACTAGTACGAATCTTCTCAGGTGGAGCCCGAGCAGTATCTTTTAGTTCATTTTCTTTCGCTGTAAGATTTCTCCAAACAGTATCCTGGTGAGAACTGTGACTAGAAACCGAATGTTTGTTAGAGCTCTGTTCAGGGTTAAGGCATGAATTAGCATTTTGTGTGCCAAAAGCAGATGCACCATGACCTGACAAAGGGGACTGTGAAGGCTGATCTTGAGCATTTGTCTGCTCAATGCTGTCTCGCATAGGATCGTACAGACTTGCCTCAGATAACATACGCCTAGTAATCAAGAACGATGGTCGAAATGGAACAGAAGGCTCCCAATGGTCAAAGGATGGCTTTGGCTTATACAAATATGATTGTTGTGTAAAGGCAGATATACCAGCATGAGAAATTAACTCTGATTCAGAACCAGATATCGGAGGAGACCTGTTTTGCAAAGAGATAATAGATCCAGAAACAGAACGTTCTTTGCCACCTTCTACTATCTTCTGCAAGCCAGGGGAACCATCATGCTTGAACTGGCTTTGGCTTCCCTTACTTCTTATGTCTTCTAAATGTGATAAATGAGTGGGAACCCCATCAGTTTGATAACTTTTAGAAGGCAAACCTTTACCGAAAGAGCCCTTCCCGAAAGTTTGAGAACAGTCCCTGAGCATTGACGAAGAAGAGTGGCTATAATTAGCCAAGTATGGCTTATGTTCAAGATCATTCACAATGTCTTTCACCTTAAAAGAGGTAGCAGACAAAGGATCACTTTTGTGTACAGCCACTTCCTCTCCACTCTTTGACCTTAGTGTCGCTTCACGTTCAATCCAAGCAAGGGCCGGATCAGAAGGCACAATCTTTGCAGATATTGAAGTCATATCCTTCAAACCTACAAGATACAATGTACTAGTTAGGACTGCTCCTTGAAGACTCGACCTAAGAATACTACAAAATAGTATATACCTTGATGTATGCCCATTAGCTTAGCATCTACCCTACTCTCCTTGGGACTACTAGCAGCATTATCCCTTACATGAAGGAACCTACAGGAAGTTCCCTTGATGCACCAACCTTTCGCAAAAAAGTCACATATAATTGCTTGTCGTTTGTTTTGATCATTGCATTCAGAACCAGATGGTAAACTTCTTGATCTTGTAAGAGGAACATCTGACCTAAAAACATCTAGATCTATAAGGATTCTGTCTAGAAATGATACAAAAAATTCACCATTTAACTCTTTAAAGCACGAGTGGACAAAAGAAAAGAACAAAATATGACTCAGGCATCAAGTATCATTAAACCTTGGTGATATATCCATATCTTCTACAACAGCTGCTTCATGATCAGTCATGCCTACCCCCAAAATTTCAGCACTCATTTCACAACCAAAATCTTTCTCGTGCATAACTCCCCCCTCATTCAGAGAAATGACATCATCGCCAAGGGCTTTATTTCCTGCAAGTCCCAAACATTATCTCCATAAACCTTTCTTCATTATTCAGCTATGAATTGAACTAGGCACATATACTTGGGTGTGGCACAAAAAACAGAGGGTTGACAGCTTTTCTCCAAAAAACAATGAGATGTACCCATCTAGGATAATAACAGTTCTCACCATCAGATGTTGGCTCTTTTCCTTCATTTGCTTCATTTGAGCAAGTGGTTCTGTAATTATTGTCCCCCGCCACAGAAAAGGCCAATGGTGGATTTGCTTGTGGTTCTTGTGGAGTAGCAGAATTTGACCCCAAACGCTTGTCAAGCCTTGCAGACTCCGGAATGTGTCCATTTTCTACAAAGGATTGATATTAACAGTGAAGAATGACACATGCTAATTCTTCAGATATTAATGGTGGCAGAGTGAGCGGACAACTTGAGATAACTCATCTACATCTAGATTCTAGAGTACCCCAGCTGTGAAACACATGTGTGCAACCAAAGAGCTACACAAAATAGGGGAACAGACAATACTAAAATATTTATCATAGATATGTATGATTTGCCAAGATCTATATATCTCAGAACATTGTTTTATGTGAATAATTTACAAAGGTCTATTCTCATAACTTTGAGGGTCAATTTACTTTATTATGTTTCCGTTATCTGTTTTCTGGTTTTTTCGTTCTCTAATTTAAGTTTTGTTTTCTAATCTGGACAACGTATATAATACTCCTGTCATCCCACTATTTTGTCCATTTTTACATTTTTTATAAGTCCCACTGTTTGTCTCCTGCCATATCAAGTACCAGTAGTTAGTGTGTATCCAGAGCAAAGGTGATATTCAAAGTTGCAATAACTGTGGAGGCTAAGTTGAGGAAGAAGGTGCGCGCTTTCATAAATCAGCTGGGTTTCATGCATGGCAGGTCTAGTAATGAGGTCATTCACCTCTTGTGGAGGATGATGGAGGAGTATAAGGATAAGAAGAGGAACCTACCCAAGTTTTTATTGAAAGGGAGAAGTCATATGAGATGATTCCATGGAATCTTGTGGAGGTGTCCAGATTACAAAGGGGTATCGGTTGCTAACATCCGTGCAGTCAAAGACTCAAAGACATGTACGTAGGGGCAAGGACCGGGGAGAAGGCTGTCGGGGGTGAATTTGACAACTCCCGGCACAGTTAGGGTTAGGGTCTGCCCTAAGTCCGTTCCTGTTTGCGTTGTTGATTAATGTTTTGAGACATCATATTCACGGAGAAGTACCTTGGTGCATGTTATTTGCAGATGGCATTGTACTTATTGATGAGACATGTGAAGGTCTTAATGATAAGATGTAAATGTGGCACCGGTCCTTGGAATAAAAGGTTTCAAATTGAGCAGGACTAAGACCAAATGCATAAAATGTTGCTTCATTGGTTAGACTGAGTCAAAAGTGGAAGGCTTGATTCAAACATAGTGCCTAGAAGAGACAAGTTTTGGTATCTTGGTTCGGTCATTTAGGCATATAGGGGGATAGATGGAGATGTTTATCTTATTGGAGCCACATGGGCAAAGTGGGCGCTATTGACAAACATGGAAGGTAAGTTTTATGGACAATAGTTTGACCAGCTATGTAATACAGAGCAAAGTGTGGAAGAAAATTTATGCTATCATCATCACGTGGCAGAGATTGAGGTGGATGAGTGGTCATACAAGGATGGGTAAGATTTCAAAAAAGGTAATTCAACAAAGGGGGGAATGGTCCTTTTGGAAAATAGGTTGTGAAACTAGGATGAAGTGATTTGGGCATGTGAGGAGGAAAAGTGCAGAGACCCACTGAAAAGATGTGATGGGCTCATAATAGTGGGCACGAGAAGGGGTAGAGGAACTAGGAGTTGAAAGAAACTAGTAGTTGGAAAAAAACTTGAAGGAGTTCGAAGAAACTGAAGAAGTTGGAAGAAATCGAAAATGTTGGAAGAAAAAGTAGAAGTTAGAAAAAAACTGGAAAGAGTTGGAAAAATTGGAAGAAGTTGAAAAAAATTAGAAAGAGTTGAAAAAACTGGAGAGAGTTGGAAAAAAATGGAAAGTGTTGAAATAATTATTATATTTAATGAATTACATATTTGATTTGAAAAATGTATACTATTCTTTTTAAATTTTTGTCTTTTTATTTTCCTCTATGTCATAATATTTTTGTCTCAAATCATTATAACATTTCTGTACGGCTCTACGCTTACTTCTTTACATTTTTAAATCAATATCAATCATATATTTTTTCGATTCTTAAGTTGCATGTCACTAATCCATGTAACAAAAATAAGGGGGCGAATGAAGCTATACTTTTACATAAGAATGGTCTAGATAAGACAAAAAAAAAATTAGATGTTTTTTTTCAAAAAATAATAATTAAATTACTATATTATTGAAAAAACCTTCAAATAAATGTGAAATACAACCATTACTAGTAAAATAGTTTATGCACATTACAAGTTATATACTCCCTCCGTCCAAAAAAGTCTGTTCCGTTTCATTTTTTGCGCATCCCAAAAAACACTTCTACCCACATCTAAAATGCCTACAATTTACCACATTTACCCTTTATTATGGGTAGAAGGCATTTTGGAAGATTTTTTGACATTTGAGACGATATAAAAGTGTTTTATGGGATGCGCAAAAAATGAAACGGGACAGACGTTTTGGGACGGAGGGAGTAATTCTTAAAGAAAGAAAATAGAGTGGACAACTAAAAACTTTGCAATTAGCTCCTAAGCTTGTATTCAATTGTCCTAAAAACATATCATTCTTTTATCGTTAAAAGAATAATAAAAATCTTCAGTCTTTCTTTAAATGTTTGTTCCAAATAAATATTTCATTTGTCTCATATCTTTTCTCTTATTTGACTTTTCATGGTTCCTGTAAAACAGTTTGACCATTAATACCTCTATTTATATATAAACATATACAAAGTATTATTTAACTAAAATTTGTTTTGAAGACAAATGGTTTTTTAAGAAATTGTGACATTACACATTTTTTATTGTACCAAGATAAATAATAATAATAATAATAATACTCCCTTTGTCCATTAATTTCTTTCTCACTTTCCTTTTTGGAATGTCCAAAAATTTCTTTCCCGTTTCCTATTTTGGCAAAAAACTTTTAATGAATGTGCCATTGTACCCCTACTTTTTCTCGACACTATTCACTCTATTCCATCACATAAAGGACAACACATCGAAAGTCTTTACACTTTATAACTTTTCATAACTTCCATGTCAAGTCAAACCGAGAAAGAAATTTTTGGACGGAGGGAGTAATAATAATACGAAAATAAACCTAAATAATTTTTTTTGTCGTTGCTGGAAGAAACTGGAAAGATTGAAAAAAAACTAGAAAGAGTTGAAAGAAACTGGAAGAAGCTGGAAAAAATTGGGAGTGAAGAAGCTTGAACGAGTTAGAAAAACTAGAAGAAGTTGGAAAATCTAGAAAAAAATTGGAAAAAACTGGAAGGAGTTGGAAAAAATGAAAGCAGTTAAAAAAAATGTAAGGAGTTGGAAAAACACAGTAAGAAGTTGGAACAAATTGGAAAGAGTTGAAAATGTTGAAAGTTAAGAGTTAGAACCCAAAAGAACAAACCGTAAGTATAAATTATGTCTCATCAATACATCCATCTCATTTGCAAAATGGGAGATAGACCTGGTCGCCGCCCAGACGAGGCAGGCTTGAAATGCCAGAGTGGGGATCCACTACTTCACCAATTAAGTTGAGCCCGAGTCCATATTTAGCTTCACTTGGGCATGGTGCCACAACTTTATGACAAAAAACATCCTCACAAGGTTCAAAGTGCCTCAACACATCATAACTGACAATGGTATGTAGTACGAGTCTAGACCCTTCAAGGAGTTGCTTGCAATAGTTGCAAGTTGGGGGATAGAACATATATATAGACACACACACACATATATATACACATATATATACATACATATATATATACATACATACATATATATATATATATATTTGTCGCCTAGTCGTCGCCTAGGCGTGCGCTTGGTCGCCTAGGCGATATGAAGGTACATTGGCGCCTCGCCTCGCCTTGGCGCCTTACAAACTATGATGACCATGTTACAATTGATGACCTCGGCTTCATTGATGAAAGGTGCAAAAAAAGTCTTTGTTCAAGCTTAAAACTATAGTCGACTAATCAAAGATTACTACAACATAAAGCTAAAGTCGAGAAAGTTTTGGGGACTCTGTGATTAGGAGGCAGAGGTTAGCCAGCCCTATGAGGGAAGTTCACAAAGAAATATGAAGGCCCTTGCATTATAAACATCATCATCCAACTAGGCACATATAGAGACTACAAGTTATGCAGTCAAGAAATAGATAGGCATTGGAATGTATACAATTTGATTAAGTTTTACCAATGAATTCTGCCATTGAATGCGCCGTGATTGGCTTAGACATCACCCTTCATAGGCCTGCATTGGTCTGCCTTGTATTCCTACTACAAGATCAAAAAAGATATTTTCCTCCCTGCCAAAGACTAAAATCTTGCTTGTCTATTTGTGTGCTTTCTATGACGAGGCCTTAACTCATTGTGTGACAAAAGGGCTTAGCCAAAAACTCTCATCCTTGAGCATCAACTAAGCATGTAGGCATGAACCTCCGCTTGATGTTCTAGGCCCAAAAAGGCCACCTCTTAGGGTTTCTCTATTGTTCTAGAAGGGCCATGTGATGAAGTTCTAAACTTCACAAAGGAACCTTCCTTCTATAACATAGGCTAATGGTTCCAACCTAACGAGAGATATAAAAAGTAAGAAAGAACTTGAGGGCTAACTAATGTGCACTACCTTGCCCAGCACTCTTCCATAAGTAAAGTTTTGGAACCTTGATCAAGACTTACTTGGCTAAGCGTAAGAGCAATATATTTAGGGACTCCAAATATATACACCCTCCGTCCAAGTTGAAACTTCTCATTTTGACTTGGCCCAGATTTTAATGTAAAGTGNACTCTGACTTTCCAATCTTGCCCTCAATTTCCTCCACCCAGCCCCTGCCGACCTGCCCTCCTATTACCCAAACAATTCTTCTTCTTCAACTTTAACCTCAACCCCCCCCACCCACCTAACACCTTCACCACCCCGCCCTCCATTAACAAATCTCACTACTTTGTTCTTCATCTTCAATATCAAACGCTACCCATGATCTCCGTCCTCAAAATCAACCTCAAACCCAAACATCTTCTTCTTCTTCTTCAACCTCAAATCCACCTACCCTCCTTCTTACTCTCAATGTAAAAAAAATCAAAAATAAATCTCATCAAACTTAGGAATGTCAAATTTAAGATTACGCCTAAAAGAAATTGAAAAGGAACCCGGTGAAAAGATGAAGATAGAGAAAAAGGGGCGAAGGAATAAAAAAACTAATCTAGAAATTCCACTGCAAATCTGAAAGCTCCACTGAATCCCCGCCATGCTGCTAAGATTTAAAGGCTTTTCAGATCTGATAGGTTCATCCTTCCCTTCACCACTGCACCACCTTGGGGGGTTATCAGAAGAAGAAAAGAAGAAAAGAAGAAAAGAAAGAAAGAAGGAGATGGGGGGTGGAGTCTGACGTAGAAAAAAAGAAAGAAGGAGAAGAAGAAGAAAAGGAAAGAAGAAGAAGAATAAGAGAGAGAAGGAGAGATGGGGGGAGTAATGAGATTGAGAATTGGGGGTGAGAAAAAAGTAAGGGTAAAAGAGTAACTTTAGATGTATTTTCTTTTTATTTTAGGAAACGAGAAGAATCAAATGGGACGGCCCGAAAAGGAAAGTGAGAAGAAAGATATGGGACGGAGGGAGTATCTGGGATTCTAACATCGAGCCTCTGAAGCAATGGGCTTGAAAGCCAAATCCAAGTGAGAGCCTGTGTCTGAATTGGGCCCATAAGAGTAAGCTTTCTCAGCAAGGAATAATTGTAGGCCGACCACAGCAGTCCACTCAAATGACACACTTGTCTGCACCATTAAGCTTAGGGCCTTCTTAGCACTTGTTTTTTTCTTATTCTCTTGATTAAGTCACTTGTAGGGGGGCTTGGCCTAATCTCTCTTTGATGGTTAATAGGTTTCTCACGATCCCACGCGTGTTATGTATTCTATATACATATCCATCATGTGGGGGCGGGAGGGGACACTCTAATTCGATCTCTTTAATCTCTTATTCCAGTCAACAATGACCCGCCACCGCCTCAGCCTCGAACTCCTCTACAACCTTGTTACCTATAGTGGTCCAACCTCCATCTACTTCTCCACTGACACTATTTGTAAACTACCATACATTCGGGAGATATTTATTAGGTAAATAGAAGTGGCAATACTCGAGACCACAGCAAAATGGTTCATAAGTGAATTTTTAGGTCTAAAATTTAATAATAATAGTATTTTCGTACTACCACAAGCAATAATAAAAATAATAATAACAATGATAATTACTATTATTATTATACTTTGTAACAATAATAATGGTGCATTATCACACCCCTACTAGAGATCAAGTGTATCCCCATACTTTGAGAGGGAAATGACTATAAAAATTGTGCCAACACTTCCCACAATCAAATGGTATTAATTGAAAGCATTCAGTTTGTGGATTGCATCAGCCACACTTGAAATACAGTGAGGCTTGGATACCAAAAAAAGAAGAAATGGTTGCTTAATTCGTATTCTTACACCAAAAAACATGCTGCTTTTAGGTTGTGTTTGGTTGGAGGGGAGAGGAGGTGAGAAAAAATCAAAGTATCAAACCCTCCCCTTGTTTAGTCAATTATTTTAGTAGGGAGGGGACCTAAAATTTCACCTCCCATCCCAACCCCTCCCCTTGTTTTCATCTCCCACAAATCGGGGGATTCGTGTCTATTTTGTCCAAGGTAAACCGTCTTCTTTCGCCTGGCCATCTTCCTTTTGACATTGTTCATCTTCCTTCTTCCCAATCGCCTTCAGAGCCGTCATCCTTTGTTCTGCCATCCCCTTCACAGCTGTTTCCGTTTTACCGTCCATCCCAATTGTGGTTTTTTATGCCGCAAGGGGTCTAATCGAGGTCCGCCGCCATTCATTCATTCTGAACAAGCCCTTCCCTCCCTTTCCCTCCCCTATTTCAACCCAAACCATAGTCACATAAATCGCGGTATGTTTCGGTACGGGTACAAAAATCGCTAGAGGTAACAAATTCGGTACGAAGGGGGGTAGGTTCATTTCAGTACGAAGTGGTACGAAGCGATACGGTGTACCATGTATTCGGTACGAATATGGTTTCACTGTTACTATCATCTTGAGAATTATGGGCTTTATTATTTTTGCCAAAAGCCATTGAAAAAAGAGAGAAAATTACTAGATATTGAGGACTTTAGAATTTAGATTGGGTTGTGGTGAGACTTGAGAGGTGAGACATATATATATATATATATATATATATATATATATATATATATATTTGGAGATTGCCTAGGAAAAAACGAAACATTAAGGAGAGAAGTCAGAGAACAATCGAGAAACGTATGGAGACTAGGAACGACTCGCACGAAACTTGGGGAAGTGCAATCGCGAATTGACCTTTTCAATTTACAGAGAGAACAATCGCAAATTGGAAGAGGGAAGGTTGCGGAAGAGACGAAATTGCGATTTGGATCGCTGAACCGCCGGCAATTGGTACTCCACATTCTCCGACTTGGTGCGATGTTCGAGGGCACCTGGATCACCGGCAACTTGCAAATTGGAGCGCCGTACCATCTCGATTTGGTACGCCGTACCGGTGGCGATTGGATCGTCGGCGAATTGCGATTGGGTACGATTCGAACCAATTCGGAAATCGCGGCTAGGTATACGAATTCTGTAACTATGACCCAAACACAGCCCTAGTGGCTAGCCGAATGGGCGAATCTCGCATAAGAAGATGTGAATTACTACGCTTTGATCTTAAATATTGGCCTTGGCAATTTACTAACAAATCGCTTTATCGTGGTCTTCATTGTTGCCACTTCTACTTCATAAATATATCCTGCATGTGCTAGTTGGTCAGTAGAGTATATGCAAGTTGGACCACAGATGGCAACATGGATGTGGTGTGGTGGCTAAGTAGATGACAAAGATAGAGCGGCTTTTGGCACTAGTAACAGAGGAGTTTGTGAGGGGCACTGAGGTGGAGGCAGTGGCTGGTTATTCCCGACCAAAATAAGAAGCTTGGAGGTGACAACTCTTAAATCCAAATTGGCCAAGATATCATCCAACTTGGTTTCTTATCGGCAAAACTAGGCGGGTAATGAGTTGGCAGTGGCGGCTGTTTTGCTGATAAAGTTGGCAAGAGAAATGAAATCATTTGAAGCATTGGTAGGATAGATGGCAGTTGTGATGTTGGTAAATTGTAACGGACATGCATGGTGCAAAACCCCTCATAAAAATTATCCAATGAAATTCCAATGTGGCGGCCATTGTGCCTGGAATAGAACAAGAATATGTTCTTGCCCGGAACTCAATCCACCCTTCTTCAAAATCAGTCATTATCAAAACAACATAATTGAGAGAAAGAAACAAGTATAGAACTCAGCTTTTTTTTCTTTTACTTTTGTGGACCTAGAATAAAGACCAATGACAAAACTAATAATACAAATACTCCAAGTAGCATATAGAACAACCCAAATAGCATGCAAAAAGTTCAAACAACCTTAAAATCACCCATGATTCCAGAAAGCAGACCCAAAATGTTATGTTCAAACTTCAAAGGCAACACTATGCGCCACATTTCAATGGTCTTGAATAGGATAATTTTCCAATTATAGCCTGGTGGCTGATCTTCTGTGGAAAAAGATTGAAGGGTGGACACTGCTGATGAAAGTTGAGAGCAGATCTTGTTGCAGATAACCTGTAGAAAAAAAGCAGATAGAGAGTAGCAGCAGGAGTTTTACTGACCTCCCGGGAAGGTTGCTGCGTAAATCTTGCGCAAAGAAGATGGGAAAGAGAGAGATCCGAAAGAGATGAGAGAAATAAAAATAAAGAGAGCTACGACAGGGTTATTAGAATCCTGAATACCTTTTATTTGATATTTCCAAATCTACCTTCCAACTTGAAGATACAACTCTTTAGGTAGAGTTTAGTAATCCTAAGGAACCCTATTTGGAAACAAATACAATTCAAAAGCAATGTAAGGTAAAGGAACTAAGTGCTAATAGGCAACTATTAATAATAATAGTAGTAGTAAACTACTGCTACTACTACTAGTGGCACTAATAATAATAAAAATAATGATGATGATGATGAGGAAAAGGAGGAGGATGACCGCATCAGTTTCTTCGTGAAACCATCCACGACGACCATCACAGATGGTTTGTTAGCTGAGCAGGTTCGCACCTTAGTTGAAATATTGTTAGGGAGAAGTACACCCTAAACTGCATTGAGCTTGATTCAGAAGCTGCTTTGTAGTTACTTCAGGCTTGGGCCAACCACTGTGCGCTTTGATTGAAGAATACAAAAAGTTAACCTAATTAATCCTATTCCGGTGCCAGCATACTTAAAAAGAAAGGAATGCACTGGCAGAGTGTTTGGCAGACAAAGGCCTTAACTTGAATGAGGATATAGATGGGTATGATATGCCCCCGGAGAGCTAAAAGTGTGTTAGTTTCAAAGATTGACCCAAATGGGATGAACTCATGATGTTAAAGTTAGTGACTTAGTGTGAGTGATTTGTGCTTCTACCCAACCAAAAAACAGACTATTGGTCTCTCCAATTTTCTCCTGATAAAAAGAAAGGTCATGTGTGCCCGATTGAAGATGTCGTCAAGGAAAATATGCCAGAATCCTTTTATACACACAATAAACCATATAATTATACAAGGCTAAACCCAACTAGACTCAACAGATATGGGGAGCAAAGTAGGTTCAACCAGCTCTTGTGTTTCCTGTGCCATCGTGGCTAGCCTCTAACAACAATACATCTATGTGATATAGCATATTTTCAATTTGACTCAACACATGCATTTGAATATATGGGGCAAGTAATCTTTGTCAAAAAATAAAGAACTAAAGGACACAATGTAGTGGAAAACATTGTGGACTAGATGTAAAATAGATACCATAGTTCACTAAGCCAATGTACCTTCTTTGTGATAGTTTATAAAGGTCGGTGCTTCTCCTTCAGCAAATTCAGCAGCATATTCCTCCGATCCTTGAGCTGTGCCTCACCAAAATGGACCATGATCAGCTTATTTCAAGTACTACATAAATTTATGCACACTGCAATCCATCGGGATTGTTTCTAATGGACTGGTATCATATATATTCACAATTGAAATGTCTAGCACTCTAGCCAGAGAAATTAAAAGAACTATTTTTGTTTTTCGAAGGGTAAAGAATAACAATGTCAAAACTCAACAAGTGAAATCCTGAAGAAATATATCATCTTCAAAATAAAAACAGGAATTTAAGCATTTTTGGTTAATAATGTAGTTAATAATAATAAAATAGATAAACCTTGTCTATTGTCTTCCTTCTTGCATGCAGTTAATCCTATGGCAATTTCAGCTGCTCCTTTTTCATCTGGCGCTTCTACATTCCATTATGTAAATTGACAGGCATTAGATGGTGCCAACTACACTAAAAAATCAATATCCACCAGTTAAATGAAGTGAAGACTGAGCAGAGTATCACACTAACACATTTGAAGAAAAAGGTCAAAATTTTATAAACAAATGCTGGGAACATATATCATTTGATCAATGAACTGATAAGTAAATGATTTGTTTTGTATGACAGACAAACAAACCTTTTGTATTATCTTCTGCGATGGCTTTGGTTAATTTCACTACATTTTCAGTTCCCTCCACAGCTTCCACTCCCACATCTGTTTCTGGTTTTTTATGGTTACTTTCATTGAGCAGAGTTAACCCTTCAGCAATTTCAGCTGTTTCTCCGTCCTCGTCTGTTTCAGCAATGCCATCAAATAAATATGGTAAATTGGGCTTATTCCAAATTTTCATTTACATTTAAAACGTCAACACGTAGACTCAAAAAAACAGATAATCGGAGCTTATAAGTCAAGATACGGTAGATACACATTCTCTATATGCCATTGAAGAATTAATCAATGTTAATTCCATAAAAAGGGCAAACCTTTTCTGCTGTCTACAACATCGGGTGAGACTAATTCTTCATCATCTTCAGCTCCCGCCTCGTCTATATCTTCCTCCTCACATTCCTCGTCTTCTTCTTCTTCTTCTACTTCTTCTTCTTCTTCTACTTCTTCTTCTTGTTCTTCTTCTTCTTCTTCTTCTTCCTCGATCTCTTCCTCTACTTCTTCATAATTGTAATCGTCGTCATCCATCTCCGTTTCAGATTCGGGGGATGGATCGGCCGCTGCGTCAGAGAGAGGCATCTCAGTCAGGGCGCAGCAGCGACGGCAGAGCTCCGGAGAAGAAGAAACACGGGTTGATTGAAATTAGGGCTCAGAAGACGGCGAGGAACCCCAATTAAATTGTTGGATATTCTCATATACATATCTCCATTTCAATCACTTTCTCTCCCAACTCTTAGTCAGCATTCCACTAACTTTTCATTCCGACCCAAAATTGTTTTGAAAATGTGCCTTTCCATTTTTATATCATTCATCATTTTTTAATTGCAAATTTATATAAATTTAATCAAATTTTTATTTTAAGAAAAAAAGATGAATAATACGGAGTAATAAACAAAATAAAAGTAATAAGTTTAAATTTAACAAAAATAAATAAAAAGATTAAAATTAATTAAATATTAATTATTGAAATTAAAAAAAATAAATAAGTCAAATTGAAAACATTAAAAAAGGTTTAAAATTAAAAAAAAGAAATTGAAAAGTTGGAGGAAGAAGGCAAGAAGGAAGAAGAAGAAAACACATCGAGCAGAAAGAAGAAGAAGAATGAAAAAAAGAATCTAGCGTGCCAGACCGCTTGTAGTGGGCGGCCTCCGTTAAAACAGCCGTGATTCTTGCGCGGCTTTGAGCCACTCTTCGGGCAAGTGACGCACGTGCGGCGCGGCAGAAGACTTGCAGCGGTGGGCAAGTTGCATTTTCTCCTCAGCATTTGTGCGGCGCGGCGATTTTTCCTTCGCTGCAAATGCCCTTACTTTGTTTAATTTCACATGATTTATAGTTCTTCTAACTCTTCTCCTTTTTAAAATTTTAGGGTGCATCTCGTAGCATTTCGTAAGCCTTCATTGTTTTAAATCTATATAGACATTCGACTTGTGAACAAAAGGTGGATGTTAAGACCCCTAAAGAACTATGAAATGTATCTCAAACGCTTACGCTTAATTTTGATAGCTTACATTTACACGAAACATCATGGCGATAATAAAAATTCGCATTGATATTTTGTCTCAATGTGAGTCATTACTCTCACACATACATTAACACAAATTACAAATGAAAGCCTCTATATTACATTTTAAGGTATAATCTTTGCGATACAAGTAGATTTATTCTTGTTATAAAGAATGTATGACGTCTCTATTTGCTTGATTGATTTTATAAAGATTAATAAAACAAAGTCTTGTTGACACTAATAATGTGTTGGAAATTAAACACACAATACACATAAATAATTTGCGAAAATCGAGAGAAAGGAAACACATATGACAAACAAGAATTTAACGTGATTTGATTTCCTTAATCCATGACTGCAATAGGAAGAATTTTATTTCGCTTTTGGTCTTGAAAAATTACAAATTAGCAAAATTGTTCAAATATTTTGGGATGAAGGTGCTTTTATCACGCCTCATTATTCAAAAATTATAAAAACTTTTATTTATTTGTATGTTTTTCTCAATTATTTGATATAATAATATACGTTTTATCTAAAGAAATTTTGATATAACTTTTAAATATATAAATTTTATTTTTAATTTTTAAACTAATGAAATAAGATAAAGAGAAAATTTTTTAAATTTTACTATTCCCTCCGTCCCTAAATATTTGTCACACGTATTCACGAGGTAAAATATTAATTTTTTTCAATTCATTTTATTTACATATTGGTATAGAAATATAAAATAAAATTTACACATCAAAAAAGTACATGAAAAGTTTTTCGAAATAAAATGTGTAAAAAATATTTTATTTATCAAATAACCAATGAAAACGTAGAACTAAACAAACTGCGGCTGCTGAAAACGCAAATATTGTAAATATTTTGGAATGAAAGGAGTATATTTCGCGGAAAGTAGAAATATAAAAAACTTATGCCCACATGTGGGAGAAAAGATCTGATTTTCATTTACTTTTTGAAATGAAAGAAAAAACAGCCTCCATGTAGGGGCGCATAACTACACGTGGCAGAGATGAGAAATTCTACCTGCGTAATCTACAAATATCAAAGTACTCACTCAAGCCGATATCACGTGCTCACACGCGCCATATCCATTTCGAAGAACCCCGTCTCGTCACAAGTCCACCCGCCGCCGTTCCGCCGCTTCCACCGCCGCACAAAATTTGAATGAAGAGAAATCGGCTCTTGTATTCAAACCGACGGTGATGACAACTTACAGAATGCTTCAAGTTCTTAATTTGGTCTAAGATTTACATAATAAAGAGAAGATTATTTAATGGGGAAATGGACCGGCCGGGCGGTTCACAAAGTTTCCGGCGGTGGGAGGTTGAGGTCGAGGTTTAGAATGAGGCCTTTGTTAGGCCTTAGATCCCGGTTCATGTCGACCACCGAGGACGAGTCGGACTCGCTCTGCGCCGCGGCGTTGCCGGCGGATTTGTGTAATTTCAGCGAAGAAAAGTGGGGGTTAGTTGACCCGGCACGCGCCAGCGCGTTGAAATAAAACACGTGGTGGCCGGGATGCGCGGCGGCCGGGTACCCGCTGACGACTACCGGTGCGCCGTGGAACTGGTGGTTCTGGTACGGAAGATTCACCGCGGTTAACCTGCCGACAGATCCGCCGACGGTGAGATCCAACAGAGACGAGTCGGCCAACGCGGCCCTGGAGAAACGGCCGCCGTCGCGGCTGGAGGATTCGACGGTGCTGCACTGGCTGGCACTGCGGTTGCTATTTCCTCCCCCTCCACCGCCGCCGCCGCCGGCCTTCTCCGACGTAATTTTGCTCACGCCGAATTGGGCGCAGAAATCGAGAGGAATCCGCTCCCCCGGCAGCGGGAAATTGGTTTTGGCCTTGGCGCCGCGGAACTGCCTGGCGGCATTGTCGTAGGCCAGGGCCGCCTCCTCGGCGGTGTCAAAAGTCCCGAGCCAAACGCGGCTCTTCTTCCCGGGATCTCTGATCTCCGCCGCGTACCTCCCCCAAGGCCTCTTCCTCACACCCCTGTAATGCACACCGTTTCCGCTTCTCTCACCCGTCGGGAACGCCGCCGTCGCCGCCGCCGGCATATCCTTAGGAGCCATCCAAATCAATCCCCCCACCGGCCACCTCTTTCAATAATCAATCAATCAATTAATTGCTTGATTTCGGGTACGAGAAAATGAAACGGAAGAGAGGATTTGAAGGTGCGGGTGAGAGAGAAGAGGGGAGAGCCGCTTAATAAATAGGGAGGGAGTCAAACGTGGCGTTGACTGAAGAGAGATCGCCGCTCCACTGCCCGTTCAATGGGGCCCTTCTTCAACGTTACGTGGAATTTCTCCAAATGAAAAGCTTTGCACGTGCTATTGAGCAAAGAAAAATACTCCCTCCCTCTTATAATGTTTTTCCGGTTCATTTTATGAGATTTGACTGATTTTATTTTTAATTCAATTTATTTGATTGTATGTATAAAATTAAAAAAATAAAATTTATATATGTAAAAACTACATTAAAAGTTCTACAAAACAAAATGTGACAATGCTATATTATTTTATCAAATACCTAATAAAAATAGGTAAAGAAAGTAATTAAAATTTGACCGGGTAAAAAGTGAGTGGGAAGAACATTTTAGGACGGAGAGAGTAATCCATTTCACATGTACTCAAAATTTGTACCTCATTTATACACAAAAAATATGCAACATTTTAATGATTCACACTGACATAAAGTGTTAGTGCGTTAACACAAGTTTACACTCACACAAAGTATTAGTGCGTTAACAAAAATTAACATTACACCAATACAAAATGTTAATGCATCCCTGCGGTGTACAAAATGGATGTAAATTCTTGTGGTACAAGTATGAATTTATCTAAACTCATATGTCACATGTGAGTTATACATATGCTTTTCCAATTATTATCTTTTATATTTTTAACATCCTGAAAGCCTAGATAATTATTCTCGCTTAAGCGGCTAGCAACCGAACTTGAAGCCCGAAGATCGATTGATCAAGTTTTTCTTCAATCTATGACATCTTCATCAAGTTCCAATAGGTATATCAATGTGCATGTGAATTGCACTACCAAATCTGGCACAAAAAGATCATTGATACAACATTTTTACAAGCTCATGGACAATTAGTGATTTTTTTAAATCCAGAGGAGAATCCACATAGTATTTTAGGAATTCAAGGATAAATGACAGTAGAGGTGCATGTATTATCTAAAAATATTCAAATTAGTCTATGCGCTCAAAATCAAAACAATTTAGTCTCTATACTCCTCTTTTTGTTCAATCTACAAGTTTTTCTCTTTACTTTTCTCATACTTATTGCCCCAAATTTTTAGAGATAACTTCTATTTTACTATACATGACATTAAACTGATGAATATGAATTTTTATTTATGCCTATTTATTAAGAAAAACTTTTTTGCTAAAAATAATATACATTCATTTATTTCCTTTTATGAAAAGATGTATGCTTTTATGAAAAGATGTATGGATAAAATTATTTATGATATGATGGCTAAAATCGATTAAAGTATGAATTAGTATGTTAAACAATACTACCTTTGTTCTAGATTATTTGTCTAATCTTTCCTTTTCAGAATCAAAATTGATAAATTAAAACTTAAATAAAACTGATATAAGATATTAATTTAAAAATAGTTTTATTAGATTTATCTTTTAAAATATTATCAAAATAATATTTTATACGATTAATTTACCATGTAATTTTATTTAATTATGAATCAAAAATTGATCCTAGTTGACTACATAAAGTCAAACTTGGGAAAAAAATTCATTAAAAGAAATTATGTAAACACACCCCTTTGATGTAATCTCTTTGGCTAAGTGCTTGGAGTATCCACTATAAATTTGTAGTCTTCAAGCACACCTTCCATGTGCGTCACGTACCCGACCACCCTTCTTGTTCTTCAAGGGCAATGAGGCAATCGTCTTTGGAAGGTTGATCATACTTCCTCAAGAAATATGCAAATTCATCTCGTTTGCCTCTTTTCTTGACCTTCGGGCACTCGTGCTTTCGATGACCGAGCTTTCCGCACTTATGACATCTTGGAACGTTTTCCTTCTTCCTTTTTTAAGCTAATGTTTCATAAACTCATTAAAACATTCAGCCAAAATATCACAAGAAGTGCTAGAATCACTATCACTATCTGAATGCGAACCATCAATCTCTACTTTTGAGAAGAAGATGCTTTAAAAGCAATTCCTGTTCTCTTATTAACTTCAAGAGTGTGAGAGAGATGATTTGTTTCGTAAGTGATAAGGTTATCTTGAAGACTGTCATAAGTGATGACGTTGTAATTTTGGCCTTCGTAAATGGAGTTAACCTTCGACTCTCATTCCTTGGTAAGACTTCGCATGATTTTTCTTACTAACTCCTTGTCGGTGAAAGTCTTGCCAAGCATATCAAGGTTGTTTACGATGTTTGAAAATCTTTCAAACATGTCCTCCACAAGTTCTTTCTCTTTCATAGCAAACAACTCATATTCATGGGTTAGTAAATCATTTTTGATTCACGAACTTGAGGTGTACCTTCGTATGTAATCATAAGTTTGTTCCACATTTGATTGGTGGTTTGGCTCTGAGAAATGTGTTGATAATCGTTGGCGTTGATAGCACAATACAAGAAATTGATGGTGGTGACATTCAATTGAATTGAGCCTTCTTTAAGTTGGCTTCATCCTATTCATCCTCGTCCTTTGGGATGAGTGTATCGCCTATCTTCTTCATCGACAAACTATCTCCATTCTTGATAACAAGCCAAATTTTAAAGTCATTTGATTGGACAAGAATCCTCATCCGCTTCTTTCAATATGAGTAATTTGTTCCATCAAAAAATGGCGGCCTTACAATTGATTGTCCTTCTCTAATCCATGCGTTCACCATTCTCAAAAGAAATTTTGATCGTTTTCTCAAACGTCAAAGGAGCGTTAAAGATACATGCTCCGATAGCAATTGTTAAACAATGCGTGCAACTTTAGAGGAGGTGAATAGAGTTGTTGAGAATGATTACTGTTTTTCGCAAGATTAATAATATAAGAGGAATTTACTTAAATAACACTAAAACATAATGACTTTCTCTAAATAGCACCACATGTGTTTTTTCATCCCAATGTAGCACTTTTAGTCATTATGCATTAGTCATTATTCAAGAAAATATTCGTCATCACAAGACATTATGGACATTATTAACTGCTATTTTGGGAATAAAACAGTTTAAGTACTATTTAGAGAAATGACTTAAGTTTTAATGCTATTTAGTGCAAATATTTCATAATATAAACGTAAGTGCAGCGGAAATAAAAGAGAGAAAGCAAAGAACACATCGATGTATACTCGTTCACCACCTCGTGGCTAGTCCAGTTCCCCGAGAGACTCTCTCGAAGCTACCACTACTTCCGTTAAGCTTACGGGTGCTTAACAAACCGTTTACAACTCGAGAACTTGAATCCCACAAGCCTCGACACACCCGCTCGTAGATATGCCCTATACAAGACTTCAGAACCAAGACTTAAGTCACATAAGTCTTGTACAACAAGAAGAACAATCTTCTTCAATCTCTCAACATAAACTCTCACAAGAATAGAAATGAGAAATGATTTAAGCTCTAATGGATGACAAGAACACTCTCTTGAAAACAAATAGTTTTCTCTCAAAATATATAAATTTGAGGAAGAATTGAATGGAGGATTATAACCTCAAGATAGGGGAGTTTAGGAGTGTTTGTTCATAGTTAAAAATGACCAAGGAATGAAGTTTATAAAGGGGTTGAAGGAATATGTCCATTGGAACTTAAAAAAAAGAATTTGCTGAATTTTTAACACAAAAAATCAATTTTTATACCCAAATAATCAGTTTTTTGCTTCTGAGCAAAATTCCTTCCGGAGATGAAATGATAATCGATTTTTGTCAAAATGTAAAAATCAATTTTTGAAGCAATTGTGCCCAAACATAAAGTACACAATCATGTGTGTGAGGTGAAGTGCAATTTTATATTTAAGCACTTGTTTAGGACATAAAAATCAAACCAATGGGCTCCCCAAACATCAAATATAATTCAAATTTGAATCATGACACTGTATTTTTGGTGTAGAAAATGAGCCCCAAAAATATTTTGTGTGTCAAAGGATGAACACGAAAATATTTGAATAAAATATTTTTTCTTTCTAAAAATATTTTCTAATATCAAAATAAGTATTTTGATAAATGTTTGACACACCTTTTGTAACTGACTCAATGAATGTATTTTGAACAGTTAAAAAGATTTTTTAACTCACTCCAGAAATATATTATTTTTATATTAACTCTCATAAAAATAATTTTGGAGAGAAGATATTTTGTCATCCTTACAATTATTCCTAAGACTCAAATAAATAAAAAGGTCTTCGGAAATCTTCTACTCCTCTGAGTCCTCCGTTAGGTACTCCGAATGCATCTCGGACTCCAATAAAATCATGTGCACCTTCTTGAATACTTCAAGAAATTTGCACTTCAAGTCTTCGTGTTTGTCGTTGTAGCACTTTGATCTTGACTTGAAAAAATTGTGTTTGTCAATTATCAAAACTTGTGAGTCAATACTTAACAACACAAAAATGGTTGAACTCATGCATTCCAACAGTAATAAACATTTTAGTAAAGTTAATTAAAATTTGGTACTTTAAATTCTTAAAAATATATTTTAAGACAAACTTTCAATAATTCAAGAAAATAACATAAGTTATAGATTTTTCGATGTTGTATGATTGAATATATAACTGATATAACTATATTATTTTTCTAAAAAATATTTAAATACCAAAAGTCATGAATAATTTTTAAGATAAATTGAAATTTGGGCAAAATATTGTAAATGATAAATTTTAATTAATAAGTTTTTTAAAAGTAATTATCATTTTAGAAAACTGAATAAAAGTAAAGGAAGAAAATAATTGAAATAGAAGAATTAAAAAGGGAAATAAGTAATGAATTCTTTTGGAATTCATATTTGTTTTTAATATTTTTGACATTCAATGTTTTTAATTTCTCTCCTGGCACGTCAAATGTTACTTCTTGCAGTTTAGAGTTTGCTTTTTATATATTCAAGACTAAGGATAAGGATATAGTGTTTTAACATGTGCGATGCATTTCGGTTAAACGTTTTTTTCTAGTAATTTATCTTAAGCTTTTCTATGGATTTTGATATATTGGACTTTAAGTCTTAATATTTGTTTTGGTAGGACAAAAAATATTTTTCAAAAAATCCAAGTCTCATTTCCTATGTTTAGTTACATAAGTGGTATGCAGGGCCT